CCGGCCCCGGCCCGCACCGGCCCTACTGCACTGTGCCCAGGCTGAGCCCCGTGGCTTGGGGTGAGTGGGAGGGAAGAGGGGCCACCATCTCTCCTGACTACAAGTCCCTTCAGGCTACTGGAAGTTGCTCAAGTGAGCGTGCTCTGGCCCAAGCTTTAAAAACCTAATTTAACAATTAAAGGTAGAAGGGGAGGGAAAGAAACGCATGCCCGCTGCTCCTGGACGGAGCGGCTCTGGCCTGGGCAGCCTGTGCTGCCTGGGGCTGCTGAAGAGGGTCTGTGAAACCGCAACACGAGTGGCCCCCACCCCGGGCGTGAGCGCCTCTCTCGCAACAACCAGGAGTCTGGCTCTAGGCCCGTCCTGGGCGCCGGCCTTGACCCACCCAGCTTCTGGGCCTCCGCCCCACAAGGCTGGCCCTAACTCCCCAATAAACAATCGTGACCAGGGCGATGGCAACGGCACAGATCTCGGGCTGTGTGCCGGCACGGTCCCACGTTCCAGCAATACTGCAGTGAACAGCGCTACTCCGTTTAATTCCCGAAGGTCAGGGCCTCAGTCTTGTTCGCTGAGTCACATCCATCGCCTGGATCTCTGAGCAGCAGGGAGTGCAGGAGAGCTCTCCGCTGTGGGGCGGGCTTGCAGCCCCAGTGGCTCTGCTACGTGCTGACCAATGGACACGCGCAGCGGACCCAAAATGGGCTGGCTTGCCACGCGCCAGGGCACCAGGGCCCTGCAGGCAGGTGTCGGGGGACTGGCAAGTGTGAAGAGCTCAGACGAGCCTGGGCACACCTGGAGCTGGTCAGCTTGAGAGCGCACAGCCCCACCAGGTTGCACTGTTTCTGCAAAGTCAGGCCAGCCCTCGGGGCAGCCTCAGGCCCCAGGTACCCAGCTCACAGGCAGCCAGCCGCCCGCGGGACCCCCAGGCTGCCCCACCCCAGCAGGCATGAGGCAGGGGGAGAGCCAAAGGAAGAATGCTCAATCCAAATGGAAAGCCAGTTTGGCTGCGGGCGAAACATGTGCATCCAACATCCAAGATGACATCACGGGCTTTAGCGTCCCCTGCTGCACCCCAAGGGCCGGGTGTGGGCCCTCCCAGCAGGATCTCCAACCACACCCATCCCAGGAGCCCCAAAGCTGCTACAGGCCGCACCCCAGGCCCCACAGTCTTAGGGACACTCCTACCCACAAAAGCGTTCTCCTGGCCTCCAACAGACCCGCCTCAGGAAAATGACACAGAAACCATGTCGCTGGGCCCACAGCCCCAGCCCTCTGGCCAGAGTCCATGCTCTGCAAAAGGCCCACTCGCCCTCCTGCACCCCCCGCAGCAGAGGAGGCACGGCCTGTCACAGACGCCGGGGCCTCCCTCAGACCCTGGAGTTCCTGGGCACTCTCCCCAAATCAGCCCACAGCTCTGGCCTAGAAGAAATCAGGCAGCAGGTCAAGTCAGAAGCTGGCCACCAGCCCATGCTGACCCGGAGCCCGCCACACAGAGGCATCCGATACATGTGGCCGGGACGATGGAATCAGGAGGTGGCCCAGCAAAAACGGGCAGCTGCCCAGAGAGAAACCCAATCTCCTGGGTTGGGACTGTCGCCTGCCCCCACCCCAAGACCACGAGGGGTTCAGGTTCCAGGTCACATCAGTTTCTCTGGAGAGAAAACCAGAAGGCCACCTCTCCCAAGGCCCTGCACCCAGCGGTCCTGCACACTGCACCTGCCGAGAGGAGGGCAGTACTGCTGGCCGTAGCTTCCCTGCTTCAGGAGGCCCCCAGGACCACTGTGTGCAGACCACCCCCCGGAAACCCCCCAAGGGCCGCCCCCAGTCCTCAGCATACCAGCCCGGTGGAAGAGCCCTCCATGTCCCCTCCAGGGGCTCTATGGGGCTCACACTTCCCAAGCGCCCCCATGAGTCTGTGGCAGGACCGCCCACACGGAGCCTGGGCCAGGGCGCGGAGCCCTGAAGTCCTGTGAGCCCCAACTCAGCCACGACGCGGCTCTGGGACCCGGGCCAGGAGACTCTGCCCCCTCAGGCTTTCTCCTCAGACAATGCAGGATCCCCTCACAGTGCTGAGGCCCGAAGGGCAGCGCGTGCCAGGCCAGAGCCCTGGTGCCGGCAGCCCCTCCCTGCAGGAGCCTCAGAGGACAAAGGGCTCCAGGCTTCCTGCCTTCTGGACGCTAGGGTGTCCGTCTCAGGACCGCCAGAGCCCCCAGGGCCCCGACGCTGAGCCCACCCTGGCCACCCAGAGCCCCCAGCCTCTGTCCCTGCTGGACCCCAGGGCTGGTCTGCAGCGGGAGTTCCCAGCACAGGCCTCTGAAACCAGCCCTGCCTCTAGCCTGGGAAAGGCCTCCCACGCGCGCCCCCCCCCACTGCCCCCCAAGCCAGGGCAGTGCAGACAGGACAGGGCCACAGACCGGAAGGCGCCAGCACGTGCAAGGTTAGAAGCCAGTGTCACCTGATTTCGGAGCAGGTTAGTTTGAGCTACGAGATGAGCCTGCAGTTTGCCTTGGCACCACTGGGGGGCGGCTTTCTCAAGCAGCGAGACAGGCTGGGGAAGGGAGGTCAGGAAGGAGAGAGGAAAACAGGAGGGAGACGGAGAGAAACAGAGACAGACGTTAAACACCAAGTCCAAAGGCCTGGAAGGCTGACAAACAAGCTGCTGCCTCCAGGGACCCGGCCCCGCAGAGGCCGAGAGAATTAGGGGAGCCCCAGCAGGCGCAGAAGGGGTGAACTCCAACTGCAAAGCAAAATGTGAGACTGTTAGCTGGGGCGGGGGTGCGGCAAGCAGGGCCTGCCCTGGGGCGGGCTCTCCCTCAGGACCTGTGGGAAATGGGGCCCCCGCCAAGTCCTGCGGCCCCCACACCGCCCCCCACTCCATCCCACCGCCTGGCTTGTTCCAGCAGACGCAGGCTCGCATGGGTCCTGGGGTGTCCACTCAGACACCGGCTGGGTGAGGGCCTCACCCCGCAACCCAAGCCTCTCCTTCAGGAAAG